CCCGCCTACCTGCCACCTTCAGGGGGGCCAGGTCCTGACGCTTTCGTTCATTAAAACTTTAAAGAAACTCCGAACTGTATTAAAATAATCTTTCCCCGACCCTGTTGTCTCTCGGCTTCGGCTAAACGCCTGCCGTCTTTGGTCCGTTTAACACGGTTTCTCTTCTCCTGAGCTTCGGTGCATCGTTCTGGTCAAGGGGCTGGGTACATGTGGTGTAGACTTTGAACTAAGTGACCGTTTCCTGGGTAAGCAGCACAGGAGAAAACCCCCAGGGAAATGTCTGTCTGTCACCCAGACACACGGTTTCCCGTGTCTTTGTTTTTAAGAAGCTTTGCGACATCAGGGTGTAGGTGGTTTTTACGTTTCTCTCTGCCAGGCGCGAATCCCTGGATACTATATGGACTAGAGTCACTGAGTTATAGGTTCAAATGTGCTCTTTTTTTAAATACGTCTTTATCGATTTCAGAGAGAGGAAGGGAGAGGGGGAGAGGGAAACGTCAATGATGAGAGTCATGGATCGGCCGCCTCCTGCAGGCCCCTGACCGGGCATCGAGCCCGCAACCCGGGCCTGTGCCCCGACCGGGACTCGAACCCCGATCTCCTGGATCCTAGGCCGACCCTCAACCGCTGAGCCTCCCTGGCCGGGCTCCACTGTGGCTCCTTGAGTGTGGAGGGGACTCAGTAAACCCCACTCAGAACAGGTGTTTATTTCCCTGCCTTCATGCTCTTGGACATCCAAGGTCCCCTGAGAATTAGCAGCTCCTGAGGCTGGAGGCTCCAGGGACCTGACCCGCAAGGTGTCTTTGCCGCCTCCCTGAAGGCTCGCGTTGGTTTCAAGCCACCACTCCAGCCCATTAAAGGAGAAGTAATGATCACAGGAAGCCCCGCTCGCCGGCCGGCCGGCGCTCCACGCGGCGGCTGGATATTAGTCTATGAGCCCCGTTGCACAGCGACAGGCTCCGAGGGTCTGCGACTCCCCCGTGGTGGCACCGGTCACCTGCTGGTTCTCATTCAATTAAACAGGAGAGTCACCGGGGCCTCGTCTGGCCAGACTCCGAGCTGCCCGGGCGACGGCCCGCAGATGCCACCCCCTTAATCCGGTGGGAGAAACGGGGGGGCTCACAGCCCCCGATCTGCTGGAGGTGAAGCCAGATGCACGCGTCCCATCCACCGGCATTGGCCCCCGCCCGGCTGTGCCATGTGCCGCCTGCCGACCCACGTTTCCAGATTTTAAAATCAGGACTCTTCCCCCTTAAGCGTGAAAAACAACCGCCTCCCGCGTCACACGTAGGGGTGACCACAGGGGATCAGATTTTAACTGTGACAGTCAGATATTTGATCCCAAAGTTCCCACAAGGTCATACGGGCTCATCAGGGCCAAATGTTCTGTTTTTTTTTTTTTTTTGGCTTAG